AAAAAGTAAAAACTTTGGAACAATGAAGCAAAAGGGTAATTACCTGTTCCTTGTCCAAAACCGTCGGCGCATTGTTGGGGGCAGCCATTAGAACCTGGACAATTCGCAAATTCGCAAATTAATTTACACAAACTTCTTCGAAACCGAATGAATTAGCAGAGAGGGTTTAAGTAATCTTACTCGGTGGGATGGAATCGAACGCGCTGAAAGTGGTAGCTCTAAATGCAGAGGGGTTTAAGCGTCCGATTTGAAGCGAAAGCAGGAGAAAATAAAAATCCCACTGAGCTAATAATATACGAATTAGGGTTTTAGGAGTTAATATAGCGTGTATATGCGATGGACGGTTTTGTTTTTCGGGGGGATTTCAACCGGAAAAGTTAGTGGATTATTGCCCTTTCTTTTCTCCTTCCCAAAGGCCCTGTATGGTGGGCCGTCGTATATAATTGTCCTTTTCTTTCTTATTTTTTGGATTTTTTTATTTCTTTTCTAACTCATAGATCATCGGGGCTCAGGTTCAGTTGATTAAAGTAGTATGTTTCTTTTGTTATGCTATAGTTTGAATATTCATTCAAATGATTTAGATTTCTTGGTGCAAAGTATCATTCAATTAAAGAAAAAACTCGTATTATGTTTGCTTACAACCATTGTATGTTTGCTAACAACAAAGGATTTGAGAGGAAAAAAACGTGAATCCACATTGAAAGGAAAAAAATATGTGCTAGATTACGCACTGCAAATGGAAACAAGTTGTCACCCCTATTTATCCAAAAATAATATACTTGTTATAGAATATTATATTACGAAGGGCGGAGAGCGTGTGTACGGCAAATTAGGAACGGGTACAGCAACGTAGCAGCACAAGCAAGACGATGATTGGAACTGCAACTTACCCCACACATTCACAGAAGCCTTTTTCTTTCCCCTGCTGGTGTTCATGAAAGCACTTTGAAGTGAAAAAGCCATGAAATTACGAAGGCAAGGATCATGCAGACAAGAAGGAAATTCATAATGCAGCGGCCATGCCACATGGTTCAGGTTTCAACCTGGATCATGGGTGGTGCTGGTACTGATGCGGCTGTGGCAGTACTGCTATTTGCCTCGTTAATCTGGTCACCTGAAATGTTGAATGCAGTTACTCCACAGATCTCGCAGGTTCTGCAAATCATATGAATAAAATTATGCATAGGCAGAAAATAACATATCAGTCAGACAAGACAAGTAATTACAACCATAACGCAACATAATGAAGAAATGTACCATGAGGATTTTGAACAAACATAATGAAGTGTAACCAACAGCATACAAATATAAAAAATATAGAGGAAAATGCTATACAATCACTGTAAGTGATTTCAAAGGCCATCAATCTTCTATTTCTGTTTCTGGAAAAAAAGTCATGTCATCAAGATGTCGTTCCATTTGCTTACCATGATGAGTAAAATGAAATTTGAACTAGCTTGCTGTTCTTGCATATCTTCTCCTCATCCTGGTTACCAAGCAAGTCAGCCTTGACCAATCCATCTATGATGCAGCTTATCTAGATTATATTTCCTGTTGCCTAAGTTTGGATATTTCCTTTGCAGAGGGTATAGCGTGCAAGGTCCTAAGAACTTTACCAAATTATCATCCTTCGAGTAGAGAAAATCTCCCAAATATATAAGCGAAATAAACTTGTGACGGAATCAAAGAATGCAAATGCTCATCATCATTTACTAATCCATATGCATAATGTAAACATTTACATCTTTATTAGAAGCATACATAAAAAATACATGGCACACAAGATATCAACTTTTCGACCTAGGAGCTCAATTCTTGCATACAAACACACTTCCTTTAGTTTGCATTGGACCTCGCACTTTCCACTAATGTAAATGCCACAGAAAGTGTGACTGTAAAAACTTTAAACGTAGAACGATCGATATGTTTGAGTTCAGATGGACTGTAATATTGGTGACTACAAGATTTGTTCTTTTACTAGATTTTCTCGTATTTCATATGAGCATACGCATTCTACTATATACGTGATCTGCCTCATTTAGCATTCCAGTAAGAAGCAAAATGATAAGAACAATTGTGACAATTACATCAAAAGAAAGAAGCTAATTAGCAAGTAATCATTCGAATAAGCTGAACTCACAGAAGCAGAAACCTAAACACTATCAAGATGGTCTCTGTTGTAGCATGCCCATAGTAAGATCATAGTTTGAAGTATGTTAGGATGCCACTTGTCATCATCTCAATATGACAAATGTAAGGTTGAGATGCTCTAGTAGTAGATAAGATGGTTGTAAGTTGTCGGATGATAGCTTACAGAGGAAGCTAAGTAGTTTACATATAAGGAAGTCGGTTGTAATTGGGAGGGGGTCATTGGAATAATCTCTGTGTAATACAAGAAAGTACTATGCAATTGTGAAGAAGCCGAGCAAGGTTTTAACATTGGTATCAGCCAGTGTCGATTCCTCTCAATCCTTCATTGTTGTATGCCTCGCCGACCCCGGAACACCATGGAATCGCGAGTGTCGACTTTGGAAACCATGCTCGCCGATCTCAAAGCTGAGTTCAACTAACAGCCAAGAGATGATCATGATGCAGCTGCAATCATGATGCAGATGGATGCATTATTTGTGGCTTTTATCGTTATTGAAATCTTGTTGGAATTTCGACATTTATTGATCATAATGCATCCATCTGCATCTCCGTTGTATCATTACCCTGTACAAAGAAAGTGGCTCGAAGTCTTGAGAAGCAACATAACCAACAATCACACCACGGCATTTGGGTGCTCCATTAGAAATGGTGGGACTACGACCAGGAATCCCAGGTACATTACGTCTTGCTACAGTTAAAAGGGACAAGTGCTCAAAATCAAATACATATTCGTGATATAACTTTGGCACTCTTATTTCTGATACATAGTGACTGAGCAGATAATCATAGATAAAATCTTTAAAAAAAAAAAATATCACAATTTCAACCAGAAATTTCAATGGCTCTGACGTCAACGTTCTTCAACTCCGCCTTCGGAACAGTGACACTCAGAACTCCATTCTCCATGGCAGCCTTAATCTGATCAACCTTTGCGTTCTCCGGAAGCTGAAACCTCCTCAAGAACTTGCCGCTGCTCCTCTCCACTCTGTGCCACTTGTCGTTTATATCCTCCTTCTCCACGTTCCTCTCTCCGCTGATCTTAAGCACCCTGTCGTCTTCCACCTCCACCTTCACCTCCTCTTTTTTCAGCCCTGGAACGTCCGCCTTGAACACATGGGCTTCGGGGGTCTCCTTCCAGTCGACCCTAGTGTTCACAAAAGCCGAATTCTCCCGAGAAAATTCAGGAAATGCGGAGAGTGATGAGGAGGAAGGGAACGGGAAATCCTTGAAAGGGTCCCACAGATTGAGGGAGAATGGGTCGAAGACGCTGCTGCTTCCTCCTCCGGAGTTGGGAATTAGCGACATTCTGAAAAACCGATGGGGTTGGTTTGGATGCAGAGAAATTTGAGAATTATTACAGAAATATTGCTTTTGCTGGACTGATTGCAGAAATAGCGGATTTGATATATTTATAAGGAACCGAAGAATTTTCTAGAACAGACTTGAGGATGAGGCTGGAAAAGTATGTGTGAGTTTCTCGAACTTTCTATGATGCTTGAGAATAATTGGAACTTTCTCAGGACGCTTAAGAATAATCCGACGTTTGTGTGAGTTACTCACACAACACGGTTGACTTCATGATGATGAATGGTGGACCCAAAAACCTAAGTGTGGGGGTTGTATGGGCCGTTCGATTTAATCGGACGGTTAAAACTGAAGATACTGTGCAAGTTATAAGCGGGGCGTTTGAATCTTTGATATGTATTATTTGGACTTATTGATAAATAATAATAGTTCCATTAAATTAACAATATCAACTAAATATCAATAACATTTAACATCTCATGAAGTAGCTTATCTAAAGGTAAAGGGAGTTATAGCCCAAACAAGCAAATTACGTACCAACAGTTAAGTAATATGATGGTTACTTAGTACTATATTTTAATGATTTTTTTTATTTGTGAGTAAGAAATCTTAAATTCGATTTTAAATTTTAAAGCTTTGATTGGATCAGTTTGAATGAAAAGTGTTAACCAAGCTTCTAAAACTGGAGAAAGGATTTCTAGGCAGCAAAAGGCAAGACCCATGGCGTACAATTGAGATTTAAAAAAAAATGGCTTTGAGATTTTGTTGGTTAGGATGTCCTTCCCTCAATTGTGAGCAGCTCTTAATTTGCTTTCTTCGCAGGCAGGCGAATTGGAGACAATAGTATGCTTTTGAAGGAGTTTCTTAAAAATTACCACAGAAACAATGGTCTTCCTAGATGTGCCTTGCAGGTGGACATTCTGATAGCTTGTGATACCAGGTTGGAAAATGGGTTACTAGGATTAGGCTGGTTCATAGTTCGATTCCATTTAATTGTAACTGGTAGAAGAAAAAAAAACACTTTCAAACGAATTTGTATAGAATTTATATGCTACGACTAATAGTAGCCCTACTATTGTTCGAAATAGATTATCAATTCTAATTGTGATGTTTGTACCGTAAAATAATGTGATGCCACGAACGAATAAGGATGGCTCAAGCCATGTATTGTGCCTTGAGAATGTGGGGTTGGGAAGCAATGCATCCAATTTTTCTTTCACTTTATCCTTTTTTTTTTTTTTTGTTAAAGAAAATACCATATGGTTCGTAAGCAAAGTATCCAAATCTTTTTCACCTTTTTTTTTGATAAAGAGAAATACAAAGTGGGTTCGAAAGCAATGCATCCCATTCTCTTTCCCTTTGTCTTTTTCTTGTTAAAAAAGAATAACCTTTGTCTTTTTCTTGTTAAAAAAGAATAAAAATACCTTACTTCAGAATCACCTCCTCTTGAGGTAATGCTCGTTAAATATATATTTTTTGCTTCTCTATTTATATTGTTAGAGAACTCTTATTAACCTTTCCCCATTGAAGTTATCTGCTCATTGCATTGCTGAGGTAACATAATCTGTCCTCCTTGTGCATGATACCATTCAACATTCATATTTTCTAGCAAATTCGTGAAGTAACAATGTCAAGACCAGACACATGAGTTGTTGCTGAATAAGTCATAGATTTCAGAATTTCACTTTTACTCTAGCAAACTGTTGCATTGGGTTGATTTACAATACAAGTACGTACGTACATCTTGGAAACTTTATTTCTTTTCAATATTTGTTGTTTTAGGTGTTTATTTTTACCCATGTGTGACTAAGAAACAAAAGTGTTGGTTTTACATTATATTTTCTAGCAAATTCGTGAAGTACCAGATCCAACACCAGACATATTGTTGTTGAACAAGGCATAGATTTCACAATTTCATTTTTTTCCCCTACCGGTTAGTTGCATTTGGTTGATTACAATACAGGTACGTATGTTCTTAGAAACTTCATTTCTTTTCAATATTTGTTGTTTTAGGTGTTTGTACTATATGTTTATGCATTTTGATGTTCATCCACGTCAACTGAAATTGAGCTAATCCCCCCCCCCCCATAATCGAATTTTTACTTTTCTCACTCAATACAAAAAGTTTGAAAACACATCTACTATATGGTGGTGAAATGTAAACTATTAGAAATTTATATGCTGTAAAATAATAAAGAGTAAATAAATATACACATGCACTGAAACCATCAATTGAAAATATGAATTTACCCCTTGAAATTCAATTTTCTTTAACTAAAACTCATCATAGTATATTTTCCTAACAAAAACTCATTGACTTTACCTCTTGAGAAAAAAAACAGGGCCTTCGGGTTTTTTACATATATTTTTTTTTAACACTTCTCCTATTTATATTGTTAGAAAGCTCTTATTAACTCTTCCCCATTGAAGTTATCTGTTCTTATATTTGCATTGATGTGCATCATCTTTCCTCCTTGTGCATGCTAACATTCAACATTCAAATTTTCTTGCAAATTCGTGAAGCACCACTACCAGTACCAGACATATGATTTGTTGCTGAACAAGGCATAGATTTCAAAATTTTCAATTTTACTCTGTTGGACAATTGCATTGCGTTGATTTACGATACAGGTATGTAGTACTTCTCTTAAACTCTAGTTATGTCCAATATTTGTTGTTTTAGGCGTTTGTTTTTATCCTGCTTGACTAAGAAACTAAAATGTTAGTTTTACAATCTAGTGCCCACCAGATATTCTATTTCAGGATCCAGATCAACAATTTTATTGATTAGGTTTTGACTTCACATAATTTTGTATTTTTAGATGTTTAAAATATCCCTAGTAACATATGTTAGATTAAAAACAAATTTTAATATCTTGATTTCATTGCATATTAATAATAAAAGTATATGATTCTAGGGTTTTCATTGTTTTATTTTATTTTTTTCCTTTTTAAATTCCTTGGTTGCTTTTCAAATTTGCATAAGATTAAATAAGATGTTCTTGACCTCCAAAACAAGGGCTTTGAAAATGTGGCCCATCCTGCACCTCCACCAGAGATATGGTCAACATTCGAAAAAGGTTTTAAGGATTTTAAGTCCAGAAAGGCAAACATGAATGAGGTGATAGAGGGTTTGAAGAGGGTAGAAGTACGAATGATTGGGATTTGTGGAATGGGGGGCGTGGGTAAAACCACAATGGTAAAAGAAATCATCACAAGATTGGCAAAACTGAACCTGTTTGATAAGATTGTAATGGCAACTGTGTCTCAAAGTCCAAGTATTAGGACGATCCAGTCGGAAATTGCAGACGAAATAGGCTTGGAATTTAAGGTGGAATCCGAGCCCGGAAGAGCACGAAAGCTACATGAGAGACTCATGGAAATAAAGAGGATCCTCATTGTATTAGATGATGTATGGACAGAGCCTAATTTTGAGGCTATAGGGCTTCCTTATGGAGATACTCATAAAGGGTGCAAAATTTTGTTGACATCAAGAGATTCGGAAGTCTGCAACAGGATGGGAAGTCAACAAATTATTGCAGTCCCGACTTTAACAACAGAAGAATCACAGGAGCTCTTTCGAGAAATGGTAGGTGAATCCTTCAATGATCCTGATTTACGTTCCACTGCAGAAGATGTCGTGAAGGAATGTGGAGGTTTACCTATTGCTATTGTAACTGTTGGAAAAGCCCTAGAAAAGAAAAACAAGCGTGAATGGGATGATGCCCTTAATCAGCTGCGTAATTCCAGGCCAGAGAATATCCCTGGAGTGAACGACAAAGTTTATTCTTGCATAAAATGGAGTTATGATAGATTAGAGAGTGATGAAGCCAGGTCATGTCTTTTACTTTGTTGTTTATTTCCAGAAGATTATGATATTTCAATTGAGTATTTGGTTCGATATGGGTGGGGTCGAGGATATTTTAGCAGCATCGTTACTTTGGAAGATGCAAGAAATAGAGTGCATTCTTTGGTTTACCAACTAAAAAGAAGGTTTTTGTTGCTAGATAGTTATGTGAGTGAGGCTACGAAAATGCACGACGTAGTTCGTGATGTTGCCATATCAATTGCTTCAAGAGATCCACATGGATTTCTGATAAGTAATGCTGAAAATAAAAGGTGGCCAAATTTAGCTACATATGACCATTACACTACAATCTCACTTGTTGGCAAATTGGAGATTCCAGTTGGTTTGAAATGCCCAAAACTTGAGCTTCTACAAAAGATGAAAGGACGTTTTTCAGAAGGTAGCATGGACATCATTAGTGATACGATGAGAGAACTGAAGGTTTTAGCTTTGGTGGAAATGAAAGACCTAGGCTCATCAAGACCACTAGGAGTACTGAAGAACCTGCGAACCTTGTGCCTAGATAGGTCTAAAATTGATGGCATGTCTACTGATGTTATTGGGAGTTTAGAGAATTTAGAAATCCTCAGCTTTCGTGGTTGTGTTTCCTTGCATGAGTTGCCGAGGGAAATTGGACGACTTAAACAGTTAAGGTTGTTAGATACGACAGATTGCAGGAATCTTGAGGTGATTCCACATGGTATCTTCTCCAGCTTATGTAGACTTGAAGAGTTGTATATGCTTAATAGCTTTACGAAATGGGAAATTGGAAGAGGAAGAGAAGATAAGGGGATGGCAAGCATTTCTGAGGTGATGTCTCTGTCTGATCATTTGAAGGTTCTAGCCATAAATATACCCAGTGTCATCCACTTGTTGCCAAAAGATAGAGTCTTGAAAAGCCCAACAATAAGATTCGGTATATGCTTTGGAACTGGGCAATGCGTTTTTGGAAGATGACAATTTATGCATTCGAAAATTGTTTGGTGATTGATGAAAGTGATGCAAAGGAGTTGGAGAGTCAAGCAGTTAGACTTTTGTTGAAAAAATCTAAAAAATTGATTTTGAGCAATGTTAAGAATTTCCGTGTCCTCACATATTTAGACCAAGAGGGATTTCAAGATTTGAAAATTTTGCTTGTTTTGAATTGTCCAACTACCGAGTATCTTGCAAATGGAACAAGTGTGACCCAGCAAAAACTCTTTCCTCTCATACAGTCAGTTAGTCAGCTTGCAGATAGCTTTTTGAGCAACCTAAGATTCCTAAAATTGGCAGATTGTGGTATCTTAAAATATGCATTTTCACTATCACTAGCGAGAAACCTGGTACAACTCAAAGATTTATATATTTATGAATGTGATCAGATGGAAGAAATTGTGTCAAAGCAGGGGAAGGAACATGAGGAGGAAGCCGATATGATATCTTTCCATAAATTAACCAATTTGAGTCTCTGGGGTCTACCGAGTTTGGTTGGTTTCTTCCAAGCCAACAAGCTATACTCCAACCAAGAGGTATGTCCCACTCTCCAATTTCTATGATATGAGGAGGCAACCAAATTGTGGAAATTTGAAATTGTTACGAAATGCTTAAGTTGGTGTATAATTTTTCTTTAACTGATAATGATTTTTCTTTTTCAGGAAACAACGCCAAGGGTTGAGCATCAATCTGCATGAATATTTGAAAAAGCAATATTTCCATCAAAGTGCATTTCATGGTTACCAAGTTTAGAAAAGGTAGGATTTGTTTGGATTAAAACTTGACTTTGGGCTCAAGATAGAAGCTGGCCCAAAAGGAGGCCTGAAGGAATAGAAGATCAAGGCCCGGCCGAAACCTAGGAAAGCAGAGAAGGGCTTTTTCTGACTTGATACAATTCATAAGGACCACTTCCTTACCTACCCAAGGACCAAGTGGTATAGACTGACCAGACTGCACAGCCCATAAAGTACTTTATGGTGGCATTACATGTAAAAAAGCTGATGAGTCATTACCCTCAAACTGCATTCGGGCAAGGCTGCTGCTACAGGAGGCCAAACCAAGTTGTCTATAAAAGGAGGAAGAGAAGACAAGAATAAGGACACTCAATCAAACAAACAAATACAAGCCCAAACTCTGCTCAAAAACCATATTTGCCTTCAAAACGAAGCTGTAGTCAGCCCAAGCCTTCATCCCATTCGGGACAAGCCTTTATCCCCCGCGGGATAACCTTCTCTTCAAACCTTTGTAATAGCTCTGCTACCTTGTTCGAACTTGTTGTAGTATCGATTCACTTTTTGTATCTCCCTCTCCCCCCTCTCTCCCTCTAAGCTTTCAGACCTTTGACAAAACTACAAAGATAAGGACCTGTAAGACGATCAGCCTTAACTGATAAGGTTTAACCTTGCCCGACCTTCTTTGCTTTGTCTTTGTCTTTTCATTCTTTAAAGCCTAGCAATATGTTGTATACTTCCAGTTATATGCAAGTTGTTTCTAGCAAAATAATGATGAAAAGGCTTTCTCAGTATTTGGATCCGATTTGAATATATCTTCAGTGCTCAAATCAGATCCAAGTCCTAAGCCCTCGGGCATGTAAATCTGATCAGTTTAAAAGTCCTTAGCCTCAAGGCATAAAAAAGAACTTTATGTGGACTTAACCCATCCACGACAGTCCTTGATAAACGAGAAGTCCGAAGTTACTTGGGGCGCAAGTAATCGACCTACCTCTTGGTTTTGTTTCTATTATATTATGATTATCATAGAACGCTTAAATATGGAATAGATTCTGATAGGAAGCCTCAAGGCCTACACCTAAGGCCCCACAAAGGCACCTATTTGGATTCATTCTATTCTGCGGTCTAGACTGTTCGAAGAACGAACTCTAATGGGAAGCCTCAAGGCCTACACCTAAGGCCCCACAAAAGCACCCATTTGGGTTCGCTCTACCTCTCGGACTCGGGTAATCAGAAGTATAATGGTGAGAAGACTTCTGCAATCATAAAGATCAAATATGATGTGTTCGAGCACTGGTTTAGTTTGAGAGAAAGCCTCAAGGCTTACACCTAAGGCCCCACAAAGGCACATGTCATGTCTAAACACGGTTTCTTGGGCATATACATATTCACAACTAAAACTCGACATCCATTCGACATCTACCATACTGAAGATGGCAGTGGCACGCCTGAGCACCTCAAAAGTTAATCTTGATTGTGAGCCTCAAGGCCTATACCTAAGGCCCCACAAAGGCACCTTTCAAATTAACTCTGTCATTCTCTTTCAGCACTGCCCGACGAGCCTTGCCCGAAGAGTCTTGCCCGATCAAGACTTGCCCGACAAAGCCCGATAGGAAAGCAGAAGCCCGACAGCAGCCCTCAACCGGCGCCAACCTCCCGGGGAGCTGTGTGCTTGTTGGCCAGGAAGACATCCCCGACGGAAATTCCTGCGACGAACAGGATTGACATATATTATGATGTTTGACGGCGTGATATTTGATCTTAAAATCCACATAGTTACGGATGGGCAGACAACTCCAATATTTCCTCAGTTACGTGAGTTGGCAATAAGGAGTTGTTCATTTACACACTTGTGGAAAAACATTCCATTTGGATTTCAGGGTTTCCAAAATTTGAGATATTTGAAATTAAGATATTGTTATGGTCCAGAATATGTGTTCTCGCATTTAATTGCCCGGGAACTTTTGAATCTTGAAGAGGTAAAGATATCAAAATGTTCGGACATGGAAACTATAGTCAGAATCACAGAGGAAATTGAAGAAGAGGCGACAAAATACATGATTTTGTTTCCGAGACTGAACAGATTTGAACTAGTAGACCTGCCTCGTCTCACAAGTTTTTGTCCAGAGGGATTTACATTTCAATGGTCATCCACAAAAGATATGCACGTGGAAAAATGTGAAAAATTGAAGACATTGGGTGCTGTAATTCCACAAAGAAAGAAGTTGGAGAATTATAAGTCTGAGAAGGATTCAACAAGTCATGATTTCAGTACTTCTCCAACACGTTCATCCAATTGGTGCCCTGCTGGATGTGTATGCATACCATATTTAAGAGCAAACGCCCACTGCTCCATTGAAATATTGCCACATCCAATTAATTTGGAGGTAAGCTTTTAAATTAGGTTCAATTAACCTCTATAAGTACAACTTTTAATTAGTATTGTATCTTGTTGTTGATCATGTTTAATTTTCTAGGTTACACCAACTAATCTTGGGGACTCAAATGATAATGATAATCTCGAAAATCTTATTGTACATGACTGTGCGTCATTGGAAGTGATTTTCCAACTCAAGGGACCGAAGCATGAAGAAAGTAGTCACTCTGTTGAAGCATTCAATAAATTGAGGTCCTTGCGGTTACATAAGCTCTAAGTTTAACGTGTGTTTGGGAGACAGGTAGTTCACAGCCGATGTTCACAGGAAGCAGTTTTGGAAACTTGAAATCGCTGCAGGTCGATTTTTGCAACCAGTTGAAATACTTGTTTTCGTCGTTCATAGTCAAACTCCTTGTGAGTATAGAGGAAGTAGAAGTTAAGAAGTGTGAGCAGATGAAAGAAATCGTTGCCGCAGAAGAAGAAACTGATGAAATAATTACATTACCTAAAGTGAAGTCCATCAAGCTTCAAAGTCTGCCAAAACTCAATTATTTTTGTGGTGATGCTTATACTTTGAAGTTGTCGTCTTTGGAGTTACTGGAGGTTAAGAAGGTCCAAAACTTAAGGCGATTTGCTCCTAAGCTTGTTGACACACATCCCCGATTGCAAGTACGCACAGCGTTGGGAGTGGCTGAATGGAAGGAGGACCTCAATGCCACTCTAAGGAATATTTACGACACAAGGTATGCTTTAATGTAAGGTTTTTAATTTTCAGTCATTTATGTGCGTATTTAATGTAAGAATGCGAGCTGGATGGATGAAGTGTAAGAATGCATCCGGCGTATTGTGTGACCGTCGTAGGCCACTGAAGCTCAAGGGAAAATTTTATAGGACGGCAATAAGGCCGCGATGTTGTATGACACAGAATGTTGGGCGGTGAAGCATCAACACGTACACAAAATGGGTGTAGCGGAGATGAGGATGCTTCGTGGGATGTGTGGGCACACGAGAAAGGATAAGATTGGGAATGAGGATATCCGAGGTAAAGTAGGAGTAGCCGAAATTGTAGGAAAGATGAGAGAAAATCGGCTCCGGTGATTTGGACATGTGCAAAGAAGGCCGAATGACGCTCCGGTTCGAAGATGTGACTACGGGACAGAGGTTCAGGGCCGAAGGGGCAGAGGAAGACCTAGGAAAACTTTGGAAGAGACTCTAAGAAAAGACTAAGAGTACTTGGATCTAACGGAGGACATGACACAAAACCGAGCGCAATGGCGTTCTAGGATTCATATAGCCGACCCCACTTAGTGGGAAAAGGCTTTGTTGTTGTTGTTGTTGTTGTATGTGCGTATTTAAAGATGTTTTTTTTTTTAAAACATCTATCTTTTAATTCTTGATGTATACGTGGGATTTCTAAAGTTTTTACAAAAGACTGAATAATAGCGTACATATATTAATGTATATGTGTGTGTATATGCGAGTATGTGCACACTAAGGTGTGTGTGTGCCTATATATATATATTTTTTTTTAACTCAATTGTATCTCAAGAAAACATCGTCTTTTATTTCTAATACAGTAAGGATGAAGATGACGAACTCGACAGTGAGGATGAAGATGACGAACTCGACAGTGAGGATGAAGATGACGAAATCAACGGCGAGGATGAAGATGACGAAATCGACAATGAGGATGAAGATGAGGAAATCGACGGCGAGGATGACGATGACAAAATCGACGGCAATGATGAAGATGACGAAATGAACAGGGACGACGAACACAATTGATTGATCAAGCACAAAGATTAGCATGTTTCCATCTCCAACTTCTTCTAGGTTTAGTAAAAACTGATGAAAATTGTCTATATAGTACTCAAAAAAATATTCTACCATGTTTTATATAATATATACATACATTTATAGCACTTAAAAAAATTTAACAGTTTGGATCTAAAACCAGAATCTGCTACCTGTTTCATTTTTTCGAGGTACCTAATAGCAATTAAGGACCTTTGTCAGACACGTATACAATAAACATAACCCTAGTGCTAAGTGGCTTAAAAATTAATTTAGTCCTTAAACCGCTATTTTTGGAAACACATACAACAAGCACAAGCGTTTCAACTTATTCCAATTTCAGTGATTTCTAATATTCTCCAATGCATGCAGGAAAAGAGTTTAAAGAACGTTGTGGCTACAGCAATTCGTTTACTATATCATATGTACAAACCAATAAAAGGACATTTGTTGCACCCTAATTTCATTCCAAAAATACTATTTATGTTGCTTATTTTATGTACCATAAATTCCAATTGCGATTATTACTGTTTGTTTCTAAATTCGCATCATTAGTGTTTGCTTATTTGTGCTCGATGTTGATTATATTCTTGCATTTCCATTCATAATGATAATTTGGAAGTCTTGTCTCTAGCTAACTAATATTTGCATTTCAATTGATAATGAAAATTCTATGATACCATACAAGTGTTAGCTGAATGACATGTCTGTAGGATGGAAAGCTGAATATACTGTAATATTGATCACACACATATAAACTGAACAATATTATGATACACTAGCTAGCCGTAACTAATGAAAGCTGAATAATATGATCACACACTATAAAGTCCGCTATTATAGAAACTAACTTGGGGATTGGATAAGGGACGGCAATATTGGCCCAATTCCGGCGATATTGGCCCGAAAACCCTGGGTCACCGTGTCTTAGATTTGAAGTTGAGGAAAATCGCCTACGAATTTATAGAAACTAACTTGGGGATTGGATAAGGGACGGCAAGAGCATTCTGGATGTGTAGTTTGAGAGCCTTTGGTGACCAGTGGACGACAGAGCTGTTGCGTCGGCACTCGGCAGTCGTCGGCTTGCTGTTAAATGGGGCTCCTGTTGCAGCGCAAAAGAGAAGAAGGAAAGAGGATACGGGAGGAGAGAAAATGGGTTTCACCCACTTTGTACATTAATTCTTTTCCACATTTTTTATGGAATAAACGACATTATCTATCATCAAAAGTGCGTTTGGTACGTGAGATGAGACGGAACATGTTTTGATGATAATAATGGTTAGAAGTAATATAGTTCAAATTCATCTTTGATGATAATCGAATATAAAATCCCTTACTTACAAGTTACAAATAAAGATGAATGCCATTAATTTTTTTTCCACTTTTAATACATACCTAAATAAAAAGAAACAAAATGAAAATGAAAAGAAATAATAATTTGAAAGAGAAATGAAAAATAAAGGTAAATTGACAGCATAAGGTAACCCCACTACCCCGCTGCTGCCCGCAAGTTCTTTCCTCGCCCCTGTTTCTACGTCCAATTAATCTGTAGAAACTAACTTGGGAGTTGGAAAGAGAACGGAAAGAGGAGTCTGGATATGTAATTTGACGGCCGTTGGTGACCCGTGGACGAAAATAAACTTCATGCGAAAACAAGACCAGATTGAGGTAAGAAAGAAAAATACATAGGCAGAAATAACATGTCAGTCGGGCAAGACAAGTAATTGCAACCATAACACAACACAATGAAGAAACATACCACGAGGATTTTGAACAAACATAATGAAGTGTAACCAAGAGCATACAAATATCAAAAATATAGAAAAGAATGCTATACAATCACTATAAGTGATTGCAAAGGCCATCTTTCCTCGCCCCTGTTTCTACGTCCAATTAATTAATCTGGAGGTAAGCTTTTAAATCAGGTTGAATTAACCTCTATAAGTACATCTTTTAATTAGTATTGTATCATCTTGTTGATCGTGTTTAAATTTCTAGGTTACACAACCTAATCTTGAGGACTCAAATGATGATGATAATCTCGAAAATCTTACTCTAATTAACTGTAATTCAATGGAAGTCACATAAAATTATCAGATTCCACAATAGTATTGGAAATAACCTTTAGTCCTTAAACAGCTATTTTCAGAAACACACATTTCAGTGATTTCTAATATTTTCCAATGCATGCAGGAGTTTCCCGAAAGAAAAAAAGAAGGTTGTGGCTTCGGCTATTCGCTTACTTTCATATGTACAAACCAATAAAAGGTCATTTGTTGTACCAGAATTTCATTCCAAAGATACAGTTTCCGTTGCTTACTATATGTATAATTAATTTCGATTGCGATTATTACTGTTTGAATTCATCTCTCGACTGCCTATGGGGACGTCAAGGTGGACACCAAAATGGAGGCGTGATGACCTGCATCCGGAAAGTGACGTAGCCATAACGTGCATGCAAATATAATTTAATAAAATAACTTCAAATGATCTACGGAAAAATCGGCATAGTTTCCTTTGGAATTAGGTTTTGGCCCCCAAATTTAAAACCTGCTGAAAAAGTTATAATTATTTCAAAACCACATCCCCGACACCTAATGGGTTATCAACCCTCTACTACATGCACGTATACTCCAATATACTTACTGGTGGTATAGCATACAATTTCATACACCAGTGATAACTAGTGTAAGCTGAAAATTTAACCATACACGCTAGTGTAAACTGAAGATAAAACCATACATTAGCTGTAGCTAGTGTAAACTGAAAAATATAATCATACACTAGCCGTAGCTAGTGTAAGCTGAATGGGCATGCTCATAGTAGGGACAAGATGACTATACTGTAGTATAAATCATAAACGTGTAAGCTAAATAAAATTATCATACACTATAAGGTCTGGTATTAATTCATAAAATCTATTCTTCCCCTAAACGTAACGGAAATCATATGTATCTAGGCATGCTTAATATTTGATAAAGAAAAACATTTCTGAATAAATGTCCACTGACACCTCCGGCTAGCTCTCCCTTGAGGAGCCTTGTCTACCAAAAAGGTAATTTCAAGCAACTTCAAGAGATAATTTGACCACGTTGCGAAAGTATGACACCAAACGGTTGAGACCCAGAAGACATCCAAGAGTTTTTGGAGAAACAGAACGCTCACTGAAGATATGTGTTCTATTTCTATAGCACGTTTACCCCAAACAAAACACAGGTTATGGAAAGGAAAATAACATTAAGAAATGCAAAAGATTGGGGAGATGAGAAAGAAGTAGTCTCTGGTCCTGGAAATAATGCATACAATATTGCTCTACCAATTAAACCAAATCTTATGACTCTAGTGACAAGCTAGAGAGCCACAAAAACCCCAAGTCCTTGCAGGGAACCCAAAACCAAAGCAAACTACCGAAATGAACCCGATTCGAGCCAAGAAATGACAAATGCTTATGTAAAAATAAATTAATCAAATCAAACAAGAAATGACAAACCCCGATTCTAGTTGAATACAACTAGAATAAACAAGGAATCAGGCTATGCAATTTCCTACCACATTTTCACATCAACGTCATTGTTAGGGGTTTCAACAACTTCACAGAATGACCACAAATCTCATCTCCGGCATTCAGACAGAAAAATCGAATAAAAGTTCGAAATTAAGAATCGATCCCAAATCTCATTTTTACCTCTTGGTTCGAGGTCCAATTCCTGCGATATTTGGCCGGAAGTTTGCCGGAAAACCCGTGGTCACCGTTTCTTTTGATCTGAAATTGAGGAAATGCCGCTTCGAATTTGTAGAAACTGACTTGGGGGTTGGAAAGAGGACGGGAAGAGAGAATTCTGGATGTGTAATTTGACGGCCGTTGGTGACCGATGTTAGCAGACGTCGCTGTTGCAATTACATCAAACCTTCAACTCCACCACTTCATCTTCTTCGTCAAGACCTAGATGGACGACAACGTCGTACACAGAGTCTTCCAAGAAGGAGGCCATGGCTATTTCCAACAATGACCCTCCACTTTCTCTTCCTCCGACGTCGTTTCATTGATTTTGAGATCTGGGTTTTGTTTGCGGTGTGAGGTATTTTAAAATCTGGCATCGTGGAGCTTGCTGGAGAAGAAGATGTGGGCTGATATTGTTCGAATTCAGGGACCCCCAACTCGAATTGTAAAGCTTGGTTATGGTTTTGGGAAGGGGTGTGGGCTGGCGAGCGCTGTAATGAGAACCGAGTCGTCCGAATCCAAGCATTTCTTCTTCAATCCCGATTCTTCCCAAAGAACCACAACTAAGGTCGACACAATCCCACCGTTGGATAGGAGCTGCACCCAATTCCTTTGCCCACCCTCTTTGAAATCGGTATCGCCGCGTCGCTTCTTGCCTTCCCGGACCTTGGTCAGCTTCGACAATGTAAAGAACACCCGCAACAGAGCTCCACCATGGCCAGGTGGGTGGGAAGAACAAGCGAGAGAAGAAACGACATTTTTCGTTTTTCATTTTTTTTCTTAATTTTTTTAATATTTAATTATTTTTATTTGCCACGTCATACAAAGATGTGGACTCTATATTTACTATGTCAACATTTAAAGGTCAAATTAACGGTTTGATTGACGGATATATGAAATTGAAATAAATTATTAGTAATTATATGAGTTTGAAATATTTATAAATGTTGTATGAGGTTCTAATTGCATTTTTGATATGAGTAATTATATGAGTAATTATATGAGCAGATGTGATAAAATGTAATTTAACCTAAAAATAAAATGAAAAATAAAAAATAAAGGTAAACTGAAAGCATAGTTAATCACCCATAATAATAGGTAACATTATCATATTGCCCTTTGTTGATGCACAAAACCGGAGGTTTTGGAACAACGTAAATCCGACCGTGAATCTACATAAAATGTAAATAACACAAGAGTTATCGTGGTTCACCCCAATGTTTGGGCTACGTCCACACTGATTGTATTATATTTCTCTGAGAAGTGAGGGGGAGAGAGAGCTCTAGAAGTGAGAGCGTTGAAAGGGGTGAGAAGGCTCCAGAAATGGCCTCTAAGAGTGAGAGTGAGGCCTCCCTTAATTGTTAGGGTGAGGAGTCCTTTTATAGAATAAGGGCTCCTCACTTATTACATATTTGCCCCTTCCTTTATCACATAATTATATTTAAGTCCCCCGAGTATTTCTACGATATCTAAATACGAGGCCCTAAATATGGTATAAACAGTAGTCCCCTAAGTCTTCAGTCAAGAGAGTCTTTTGGCTGGAGACTTGAAATTCAGTCCATGTGTGGGCCGAAGTAACTAGATGTCGTCTTGAACTGGTACTTGATATGAGGCGGTGCTCAAAGTGAAATGATGCTCAACTATAAGTAGCACATGTAGCGAGGCTGCTCGGCTTGTGGCTTATGTTGCCTTAGTTAGCTCGGCTTGTGGCGCTTGAAGGTGAGGGGGTCCCTTTTATAGAATAAGGGCTCGCTCCTCAATACATAAATGATGGGCTAGAGTTGATGCTCGCGGCGAGGCAGTTGCTCAGTAGGCGGCGATGCTCTCTAATGGTGGTGAGTGGATCCTTTTTATAGAATAAGAGCTCGTTCCTCAATACATAAGTGATGGGTTAGGAGTAATGCTCGCGGCGAGGCGGTTGCTCAGCTAGCGGCGTTGCTCTCTAATGAAGGTGAGGGAGTCCCTTTTATAGAATAAGGGCTCGCTCCTCAATACATAAGTGATGGGCTAGGAGTGATGTTTGCGGCAAGGCGGTTGCTCAGCTGGCGGCGTTGCTCTCTAATGAAGGTGAGGGAGTCCCTTTTATAAAATAAGGGCTCGTTCCTCAGTACATGAATAATGGGTGCTCTCTAATGAAAGTGAGGGAGTCCCTTTTATAGAATAAGGGCTCGCTCCTTAATACATAAATAATGGGCTAAGTCCCCCAAATATTTTTCATGAGGCCCAATATATGGTACATAATGTAGTCCCCCAAGTCTTCGGTCAATAGAGTCTGTTGGCTGGAGACTTCAAATTGAATCCATGTATGGGCCGAAGTGGTGGTTGTTCGGAGGCGGTATTTGTATACCCTGCACTGAAGCTTTGTAGGTGAAGCTTTGCAAGTGAAGCTTTGAAGCTAGAGCTCTGTAAATGAAGCTTTCGAAGCTGGAGCTTTTATAAATGAAGCTTTTGAAGCTAGAGCTCTGTAAATGAAGCTTTTGAAGTTGATTGACATGAGTGATGCTCATGAATGTTTATGTTGATTGACATGAGTGATGCTCATGAATGTTGTCATGAGTGATGCTCATGAATGTTAACATGAGTGATGCTCATGAATGTTGACATGAATGATGGTCATGAATGTTTATGTATGATTGTCATGAGTGATGCTCATGAATGTTTATGTATGAATGACATGAGTAATGCTCATGTATAATTTGGAATACTGGGCGTACTTTTGATCACCTAGTTGGTGGCATGAAGAAGAGTAGGGGTTGTACATTTCATCACCTGGTTGGTGGCATGAATGGCTAGTTGCCAAATGATATTAGAGTACGGGTTGTACATTTCATCACCTGGTTGGTGGTAAAAGCGGCAGGTTGCCGAATAATTTTGGAGTACTGGGCGTACTTTTGATCACCTGGTTGGTGGTAATAGCGGCAGGTTGTCGAATAATTGTGGAGTACTGGACGTACTTTTGATCGCCTGGTTGGAGCTATTTTGGGCTTATGGGCCTTCGCCCTTTACACAACATTCCAGCCCATTTATTTTGGGCTTTGTCGTTTTTTTTTTTTTTTTTTATACCCTCTGATGGGGTTTATACAGATGTCTTCGAAAGATAAGAAAAATAAATTACATCATACAAGAAAAGGAAATCACTAGCAGGGTGTTTTATTCCTTGATTTTGCTTTCTCTTTTGCTTTCGCTTTCTTGGATGACCGCTCTTTTTAGGAATAATGGTGCTCGGTGTCTTGTCAATCCAACGTCCCAAGGTACTGACATAAGGAGATGCTGGGACCTTGTAATGGGATGGTAACAGCTTGACATCATTAGACATCTGAATTCCTTTATCATCGTGGTCGCGGGACCACTTTGCAGCTGTGTGTTTAAAGAAACCTGCTTTACCTTTACTGCTTTTGTTTCTGTTTCTTTTGACAAGCTGATGGACGGACAGGATGGCATGGGTCGGATTTAGCACATGCGAAAAGTTATTCCTTTTGTCCAAGTGGGTTGTTGAAGATAACCCATTACTGCATTATTCTCAGGGCTGTGATGATGATGCAGTTGAAGATTGTGCAGAGATACGGAAGACCAAGAAGAAGACTTGGCTCTCAGCTTTGTACGAAATGGGATTATCACTGCAATACGCAAGCTTTGCAGTAGAAACATATAAAACTCCCATGACTGGACTGATGTGGACAAGTAACATGCAAATGAATTTTGAAGTTGCTCCTCGGGAGTTGTCTTAAAGGTTGATCGAAAAATCTTCTCGTAACCACCTTCTGCTAGAACCTTTGTTCCTAGTGCAATTCTTCCCATGGCAGCATCAGCAAAACTGGGGCTTGTTTTTAAGAGCTGCCACGTGTTTCCGGCGAGGTCCTCCGCCTTCTTCGTAGGTTCCCCCACCGACTTCCTCCACCTCCCAAACACGTTCCGCACAGTCTCCACCGAATCTTTGAATGAGAGAGATTGTGAGAGCGTCGGGGAGGGAGCCACGTAAGTATTGGATCCCTGATGGGAAGACTGATCCGACGTGGCAGCGTGCGACTTAGACATCAATTCTGGGTTGGTGCTTCTTCACGCTGTTTACGAACCTATTGGAGCCATCCCTCTTCTTCGCCACCACTCGCTGGACGGAGCACGGTCAAGGACTTGCCGATATTCTCCTTCCCGCTTCCATTGTCTCATCTCAGATTCATTCTTCTTTGCTGCCAAAGCAGCTTGTATGCCTTGCTCATGCTTCATACTTGTGTACATCTGAAGATGGTTTTTAACGTGTGATATGTTAAGGCCCTTCACATTCATGGTCTGTAAAACCATCTTTGGAGTGGCTCTTTGATCTCCGCCAAGCCTTTCAACCGAGTAGATGACGACGGGGATGATTTCGACAAGCTGCCGATCATCTGACGATGACTGGCGCGGGCCGGAAAATGATGGTGGTAGCCGTGGACGACTAGATGCTTCCCTTGAGCTGTGCTTCTATTAGGAGTAACACCATCATCGTCGTCAAATGATGACGAGTGGGGTTTCTGACCACCTGCTCCGAGTAGCTCTCTCCGTGTGTAGATTCCCGCTCATGTGATGACTGGGGACCATCGAAGCCGGCGGCGGCGGGTACCTCAGATTATCCGTGGATTTTTTAGAGAGGTTGAAAAGACAGGGATTTGAGGAGAGAGAGAGAGAGTCCTCATTTCGCTATCTTGAGCTCTAAAATCCATGGATTTTTTTATATTAGTTTGTAAGAAAAATGAGAGATAGAAACAGCATCTTCAGCATGACTGCTTGAACATCTCTATGGTTTTAGAGAGAGAGAGAGAGTGGTGTTCTTGGTTTTTTGTGATTTTTGCAGATTCACAGTGGAGGTGAAAAAAATGAAAGAGAACCGACACAACTTTTCGTATCGATTCCCACAGACGGCGCCAAATGTTGATGCACAAAACCGGAGGTTTTGGAACAACGTAAATCCGACCGTGAATCTACATAAAATGTAAATAACACAAGAGTTATCGTGGTTCACCCCAATGTTTGGGCTACGTCCACACTGATTGTATTATATTTCTCTGAGAAGTGAGGGGGAGAGAGAGCTCTAGAAGTGAGAGCGTTGAAAGGGGTGAGAAGGCTCCAGAAATGGCCTCTGAGAGTGAGAGTGAGGCCTCCCCTAATTGTTAGGGTGAGGAGTCCTTTTATAGAATAAGGGCTCCTCACTTATTACATATTTGCCCCTTCCTTTATCACATAATTATATTTAAGTCCCCCGAGTATTTGTACGATATCTAAATACGAGGCCCTAAATATGGTATAAACACCCTTATACATTTTTGATATGATATTGCCCTTATACTCTATAGTTATGTATAAGCTCTATTTTAACTTTGAATTTTGTTTTGCTTGCGCTTACTCTTAAGTATTAACAAATACTACAAAAAAATGTTGTGATAATACGGCATATGTGTCACTAGCTCAAAGGTTAACCGAAGTCAACACTTTCTCTTCTAAAGACATTTTCGTATATAAGTGATTAGTGACTACAAGATTGTTCTTTAACTAGATTTCTCGTATTTCATATGAGTATACGCATTCTACTATATACTGATGAAATTGAGGTTCCATCATGAAACCAATTGGCAATATGAGGGGTAGCCCGATACCTTTGAGTTCAGATGGATTGTAAAAGTAATGACTACTAGATTGTTCTTTTACTAGATTTCTCGTATTTCATATGAGTTTACGCATTCTACTATATACTGATGAAATTGAGGTCCACTATAAAATCAATTGGCAATATGAGGAGTAGCCTAAGATCATATAAGCACATAGCAAACATTATCCCTCACCGATGTGGGACAACTCTCAACACACCCCCGCATGTGTGGCTGATAACTCTCAACACACCATCGCACGTGTGACGGATTTTCAAGCCTACACGTGGACAACAACTGGGTGACGTGGAGCGAGTGTGGCCGTTGGGCTTCACACATGGACAACCTTGCTGTGATACCATGATGAAATTGAGATTCCACCATAAAACCAATTAGCAATATGGGGAGTAACCCAAGATCATACAAGTACATAACAAACATTGTCCCTCACTGATGTGGGACAACTCTCAACATGCCCCGCACATGTGACGGATAAGTCTCAACATATACGTGATCTGCCTAATTCGGCATTCCAGTAAGAAGCAAAATGATAAGAACAATCGTGACAATTACATGAAAAGAAAGAAGCTAATTAGCAAGTAATCATTCGAATAAGCTGAACTCTCGGAAACAGGAACCTAAACACCACCAAGATGGTATCTGTTGTAACATGCCCATAGTAAGATCATAGTTTGAAGTAAACCACATCAAAAGTGAGAGAGCGACTCCAGAAAACAATTATAGTCATGTGCTTGCACTTCAATGCAGAAACAGAATAAAATAAAATCCTAGAGTTTTCAGACCATCATTAAACACCCAAGCAGAAGAAACATTCACAATCTAGCAAATGGGTGTTCATAATTTCAAGCAGAAACACCAAAAATCAAAGAAAATAATGAATATTAAATTCAGAATTTTTTTGTACTCATGTATCTCCCTTGATCTTGAACCAAGTCTCAGCGCATTGCTTATGCGCAACACCCAAATCCCCCTTGCAAAAACACCCCAAGTCAATTGGGACCCCAGAGGCAGAGTCGGTCCTACCACCTCCCTCCAAACCCAAGTTGCAAATCCTGCAGTTGTTTTCAACTTTACTCAAATGCACCACCTTCTTCACCTCCAAAAGCCCACTCTCCAAATCCACCTCATTCACTGAACAATCCGACCCACAGGACTTTCTCCAGACATTGCTGGAGTCAGACATTGAGTGCCAAGACTGGTTATCATCGGAGTCATCCGAGACCGACGCACCGCTGTCTCCTGTGATCGAACGATGGTGGTCGGTTTTCTCGGGAGCTGACATTCGTGAAACCCGGACAGAGAAATGGCGTGAAATGGTGAAGTGTTAAAGTTGCGGCACTCGGACATCAAACATGGTGGGGTTATGGAGTAGGTGGAGATGTTTTTAATATATCCTCAATCAAAATATCAAAGTCTCCATCCTCCCTCGATCACTATCTTTATTTATGTGTCAGTTTCGAACAATGACTAAGGGTGCATTTGTTGTACTGGACTGTCTCGGATTGGACTAACTTCAAGGGCTAAGCTGGACTGATTTAGTGAAGTATTTGGTGCAGTGTCGGACTAAAAAGCATGACTCATGTATTATATTATTAAATTTATATTTACAATATTTTATCATTAATTTAATCTATATATACTAATATTTTATTATTAAATTATCATTTTCCCTTCTAGAATCTCTTAATTTTGTGTCCGCCCACTACATCCTCTCATCTTTCCCTGCCATTTCATATTCCTCTCATTTTTTTGTCCACCCACTGCATCCTTTCCCTCTCTTATTTCTCTGCCATTTCATCTCCCTCTCTCATTTTTTTTGTCCGCCCACTGCATCCATCCCCTCTCCTTTTTCTCTGCCATTTTATCTGTGCCACTGTCTCTTTCCTCTTTCCCTTTTCTGGGTTCAATTTTTCTGGGTTTTCTGGTTATGGGAAGCAGGGAAAAAGGAGATGTGAGGGGCAAAGCGGAGTAGAGGTAGCAATGGAAGAGGTCAAGGAGGATGGAGCCTGAAGTCATTGCTGTTGAAAATTGAAGTCTAGGAGGAAAGAGTCCAATCGGAGGGCACGACTGATGAGCTTGGTATGAGCAGGGTGCGACCGATGAAGCTCTTGAGTTCTCCGATTGAAGTTCGAATCAAGGTCTTTGTTCATGATTTAGGGTTGGTAATGAAAAGAGAGGGAGAGAACGCGAGCAAAGAGAAGAGTAAGGGACGCAAGCAGAGGGCGACGAAGGGATTAGCTAGTCCTATGGTTCTCGACGTCTCTCTCTAAGACCGTCTAGCACGGTCCTTAGTCGAGGCAAGTCTGGCTTACTCCCACTAAAGCTAGTCTTGTGAAGTAACAAACATGAGACTGGACTAACTATTACTCTAGTCTAGTCCAAAGAGGGCTAGTGAAGGGAAACAAACATGGCATTAGCGAACAAGAGAATGAGGAGTTCCGAAGCAAATGCGAATTATGAGGATGGTGGGTGGGGGCAGACTGCTCCGATCAGAGATATTTGTAGGATTACAATAAAAGACTTGCAATCTTTTAAGGCTGCCAGTTGTGTTACACTCACAGTCAGACACATATACACAGAGACAAAACACGAGTTAGACTTCCAAAAGACTTTGAGTTAGAGTTAGTAAATTTATGTAGGATGGTTCGAGATTTCAAATTGAAAATGAGATTTCTACTTTTTAATTTTAATCTTAATGTTCATCTTAAATTGCCACTTAGTACTACAATTTAGTGATATTTCTCTTCATTTGTAAGTAAGAGGTCTTAAGTTCAATTATAATCAAAAGCGAATTTAAACCAAATTATTGCTAGCACATTGTAAGGGTGAGTTCATCCCTTTTTTTTTAGTGAAACCCAGACAGAGAAATGGCTTGAAATGGTGAAGTTTTAAAGTTGCGGCACTCATACATTAAACATGATGGGGTTATGGAGTAGGTGGAGATGTTTTTAATATATCCTCAATCAAAATATCAAAGTCTCCCTCCTCCCTCGATCACTGTCTTTATTTATGTGTCAGTTTCGAACAGTGGCTTTAGTGAACGAGAGAGGAAGGAGTTCCGAGCAAATGCGAATTATGAGGATGGTGGTGGGGGCAAACTGCTCCGATCAGAGATATATTTGTAGGACCACAATAAAAGACTTGCAATCTTTTAAGGCTGCCAGTTGTGTTACACTCACAGACAGAGACAAAACACGAGCTAGACTTCCAAAAGACTTTGAGTTAGAGTTAGTAAATTTACGTAGGATGGTTCTGTATGAGATTTCAAATTGAAAATGAGATTTCTACTTTTTAATTTAGACGATCTGCACCAAAAATTCTGATCTCAATGTTTATCTTAAATTGCTACTTAATACTACAATTTAGTGATATTTCTCTTCATTTGTAAGTAAGAGGTCTTAAGTTCAATTCTCGTCAAAAACGAATTTAAACCAAATTATTGCTAGCACATTGTAAGGGTGAGCTCATCCCCTTTTTTTTAGTGTAAATAATATCACTTGTTAAAAAAATAAAAATAAAATAAAACCTTTTTGAAGTATTCTTTTAAAAGAATAATACTTGCATTTCTCCTTTGAAAATGAGCTCATTCTCCCCTACTTGCAAATAGCATATCTTCATTGTAGCAATTTCATAATTATAACCGTTCGATTTCTTAATTTTCCTTTAAAGATCATCACTTTCATTGGAAATGGAAATCATATAGTCATTCATATGCCACTCCGATCATTTTTTTTTTTTGAAGGTACGCATTTTGATGGAATAAATTCATCCCACAAAGAAAATGCAAAGTATTATTATTTTTAAAACCTGAAATTGACAAAAATGACTTATGATTGTAAACAATGATGAAAACTGAGACCAAATTGGTTAAATCGAAAACGTTAACATTGAAATTTTACGTCACAGAATGTAAAATAAAGATTACAAAATCTGATTAGTTCATTTTTCTTTCAGCAGAATTATGCCAATTTCGTTTTTGCAATTGCCGTGAACCTCATACATTCAATAACGATAAAAGCCACAAATAATGCATCCATCTACAGCTCCTTCGTATCATTACCCTGTGGAAAGAAAAGTTGCTCGAAGTCTTGAGAAGCAACATAACGAACAATCATACCGCGGCATTTGGGTGCTCCATT